CAACAGGGCTGGTACTTTGGCAGGCCAAACTACTACAATGCAATTGCATTGTGGTCTCCTGGCCACTGTAACAATGCCATGTGCTAATAATAATAATTCCTTATTCCTCCAGTTTGTGTCTCTCTGATATCTTTGCACTATGGACGCTCTCCCACCTCATAAACAACTGTTGAGCACAATGCATGATCACTTGATAACAATTATTTTTTTGGGATTTGGATCAACAATTATTCTAATCATTGTCTGGCTGTTTTTTAGGTATTTACCCGCAAATTAGAAGAAGTGGGTCGAGTGTTGTTTCTCATTTCTCTGACTCAGAAGATCCCTGTGGCTCACAAGCAGTCCCACGTGTCTCTGCTGCAAGAAGACCTCCTTCGCTTGCCTTCATTTCCCCGTAGTGCCATTGATGCAGAATTCTCACTCTTCAATGATCCACAAGGTACCACTAGGTCTCCCTAAAGCTGAGCTTGACTTCAGGTAGCTAAATAGATATTTTTTTGACAATACTATGGAATTGGTTTGCCATTATCCTCTTTTAAGATGTTTTTATTTTACTTTCCAATCTAGGCTACTAGGATTTCCTATCTTCATCCCCTACAAATACTAATCAGGTCTAACTATATGGAAAACATTTTTACTGATACTCTATTGAACCACCAAAATGAGACAGCAACTTTGTTGTTAGATACAATTAAATGTTCATAGATAGCATCATCATAATTTTTAGTAGTACTGAATGAGTTTAATATGAGATCAGCAAAATAGAACAAGAATCTATGATCTCTTTGAATAACCAAAGTTAATTAATGAGGTAAACCTTATTTTTAATACATTGGTGTATGGATTCCTCTGGAGATTTTTTTTAAAGGAAGCTCTGATATTTCTCTTTAAAATAATAAGCTGCTGCATTTTAATATGACATTGCTCTCATTTTTCTCCTAGCTGGCAAGGAACTCTTTGGTTTGGATACACTTCAGAAAAGCCTATGGATTAAATTGCTAGAAGAGATGTTCCTGGGAATGCCCAGTGAATTTCCCTGGGGGGATGAAATCATGCTGTTCCTGAATGTATTTAATGGGGCCCTGATCCTACACCCAGAGGACAGTGCATTGTTGAGGCAGTATGCTGCTACTGTAATCAACACAGCTGTACATTTCAACCACCTCTTCTCTCTCAGTGGTTACCAGTGGATCCTTCCCACTATGCTGCAGGTAAGCTTCTTAAACAGAGAAAACTGAAAGGTCTAAAGCAGTCATTAGACTATTCTGCCAGGACAGAATTTCCAAACGATGCATTGATGATCTTATTTCTCATTGCTCCCCTTTAATTCTTTATCATGACTGCTTTGAGTCACAGTGCAATTTTTGAAGATGACCCTTCAGCCTCTTGTTAGCAAATCAAAACTCCTAAGGGTTTTCTTGTTTCCCAGGTATACGCTGACTATGAGAGTAATCCACAGCTCCGTCAAGCAATTGAGTTTGCCTGTCGTCAGTTTTACATTCTACATCGTAAGCCTTTTGTGCTGCAATTGTTTGCTAGTGTTGCTCCACTTCTCGAATTTCCTGTGAGTATCAGCCAACTGCTGTATGAAAATTGTTTTCATTGTTTTCTGATGGTATAAACCAGTTAT